CCTAATGTTTGTTTTAGACCGATGTCCTGATTGCTCTGGGTAGGAGTAGTTTCTCATTGTGATTCTGATCACAGAAGGAGGACTCCCTGAGACAGCAGTTAGGATCTTGCAGGCTGCATGCTCCCAACAGGAGACCAGGAAGCCTCCTGGGTGCTAGTTTTGTCAATCCTTCTGTACCTAAATATCTACCTTATGCATGTAGGGGGTAGTTTCATCCTTCTCACCAGCAAGGAAGCTCAGAACACCTAGGAACAGAGATACCTGTGCGATCTAAACGTGGTGTCCACTGGCAGGTGAATGGAACAGTAACTAAGTAACTTCAGATATATTCATCTGAAGGAGCAATGAATTCATTGCTAAGAGAAAATCAGTAGCAAGAAATTCAGAGGTCACTTGAAGCCCAGCTACCACCTGGATGCAGAAATATTAGTTTCCTCAGGGTAAACCACCCTCTTCATTCATCTAATATCTCTTACATTTAAAGTAGATCAAAAGTAGTAGTTAGCTTTTAGAATATTCAAATGATCTGTTGTTTCAAATGAAAAGAAATATTCAACAACTGAAGCTGCTTTCAGGGGCTAGTAAGAAACCCATTCTTTCTCAATTGTCTTTTCTGGCTATGAACTGGGCTGAAAGCAGTCCCAAACCTAAATAAAAAACCTAAGCACTTTTCCTATAAAGACTGACCAGAGTATTCTCTCATTAGTAGAGCAGTAGGTAATCATATGGATCTTTTATATTATCAGGATAGATTGGAAATGGCAAATGCCAGCTATTCTTGGCTATAAAGGCACTGTTACTATTACAGAAGTAAAAAATGTTTCTGTGCTTACAAGACTTTACTCTTTCACATGCATTCAACATTATTTCACAGCTTTTGTGGACATTTCCTGAAATGGTAAGGTAAAACCATTCTGATGAGGATGGCTAATTGCATGGCATAGTCCCCTACATTGCCAGTAATAAAACAGCTCTTGATAGTTCCGCTCTTTGAATGTCAATAAATAAGATAATCCAAATAATGTGGCCTCAAGGTTTGACTACATAAGAGAAATTGTTATTAGTTTTGTACCACTATTGCATTACTCAGTCCAGTATGCTACTTTTATCCACTTATAAAATTGTAAACTACAGGGAAAACTAAGGAAAGCTGCAATAGCCCTGGGTAAATGGGCTTCAATTGTGTTTGATTTACTTTCCACCAATATTTTGGGCAATGACATGAGAGGCAGATGTTTCCAAAGCAGTCCATCAATTTTCAAATAAGAATCAGAAGTTGATGAACTTTCACATCCAGAAAATATTAGATCATTTCAAGAAGTGTCCTTTTTGCCTAAATGTTTTAATGATACTAAGTACTGGCACTTAAATTCTTGTTAGCAATTCAAATTTTCTTTTTCTGTTGATTTAAGAAAAAAAAAAAAACAAACAAAAATGTACAGTATATAGGTAATAACAAACTTCAGAAATATATGCAAAGCTTGCAAGCACTTTACAAAAAAAGAAGATAGATATGTTGACAAAACAGTTCATGTGATATTGTTTGCCTTGGATGCTATGAAATAATTTCCTACAGTGCACTAAGAACTACAGTATACCAGTATACTGCACAACCTTTGCAGGTGGTCCAAAGCTGCCTCTGGTTTGTCTTTTAATTCAATCAATCAAACGAACCAAGTAAATAATGGATTATTTATTGAAAGTTCAACCACCCATGTTGAAGCAAAACTGGGGGGGTATTAATATCATCAGATATCTAGAATACTTCTTTTCCACAGCCAATTTTACACCAAATTTATTTTGGTAATTTAACATTAAAAATGAAAATGCTTTAGCACTTACAACAGGTACATGCTACATATTATACAATAGCTGCAGGTTTCCAACAGAACACATAACAGAGAAACAATGATATGAATGAAAAATTAAAGGAACAAAATACAAATACAAAAGATGAATAAATATCAACGGTTGAAAACTATAAAACTGAGTATGTGAGGTACCAATCCTGCACTTCATTAAGTCATTTCAAATAACTATTGTGAGAGGAAAAAAAATAAGGATTCAAATTGTGGTTTACCACACAGTCATTGGTTTTACGGCCAAAAGGATTCAATGCATCCACTCAGACTCACCTTCCCCTGGTTGTGTGTTTCCTCTACCAAACAAAAACTCCTTATAGATGTGCGAGCAAAGCCTCTAAAGATGTCTGCCTGACAGCCTTTACACAGTGGAGAATCTCCTGATCTGCCGCAGCAACTTCCTTCACAGTAAAATTTTGTAGTTCATTTCTCTGGTAATTCTGTCTAGTGGATCTTCAACTCCTAGATTGTGTCATAAAAATGAGCTTTTTCCAAGTAGACAATAAGAATGTTTTTAAGTTCATTATATCTTCTGAAGAGAAAATCCTGGACTATGGAAGAGATGCAGAAGACAAAAAGCTGAAGAGAAGCCACTTCTGCTGTACTTTTTAAAGTTTTGGACCAATTATTTGATCCACCACTTCTACCATTTTCTACTACTTATCATTTAGCAAAAGTATGAGCAAACCACTGGTGCAGAAAGCATATCTGAACAGTAAATCTGCAAACTTCATACAACATACAACAAAACAGAGCAAAGGTGAGGAAGGAAAAAACATGAGGGAAATATATTTGTATGTGGGTGTCTTGATTCCTCCTTACAGTGAAAGTGCTTTCCTGTTGAGAACCCCAGTTTTCTTTTTTTCTTTTTCTTTCAAATTACAAGTTTTTTATGAAAATCAAAATATGCCTGCCTTGGATATAGTTATTTTTTACTTATTGCAAAACCATCCAGATCATGTTTTTCGAGGATTGATCCAAGTTCCATTGACTCTGGCAAGCGTTAGTTATCTAATAGCTAGTTAGTGACTCTGGGAAACTTTAGATCTGGTACGCAGTACTGTAATTCCCCACTGACTAGTATCTTACATGCTGTTTCTTGCTGTGCAGGATTGGCTCCCTCATCTTACAGTTTCTGAAATGTCAGAATTAGCAACCTTTATTACTAACCGAATTTTAACCTACATGAAACAGCAGAAGTAAAACACAAGGCAGCACATTGCACATATAGTAACAGGACACCTTATAGTAGGGCTCCATTTTGACAGGATTAAAAAAAAAAAACAAAAAACAAAAAAACAAAAAACAATTACACCAGTTTATTACATAATTTGCTGAGAATTAGGTGAAGCGTGTGAAAGTGCGTACAGTCACTGAATGCTTGAAAATACTTTGTGTGCATGTGTTTACTGTTAATGATGTAGGGAAAATTTATGCACTTGGAATACTATAAGCTACAGTGGCAGAAAGGCTGAAAACCAAATGCTAGATGGTTTATTGTAAACTTCATACAGATTAAAATGGGCAGAACAAACTAAGCACTGCAACTGTGTGTACTAACTCTTAGTGAAGAAGAAACTTTGATTAGAATACAGTGCCAAGATTAGCAGACTTTTTCTTCCAGATGTATATTAGTCTCTCTATAGTATATCTCTCTCTCAACAGCACCATCTGCTATGCCATTTCAATCTGCCTAAAATGATGGGACAGTCCAGGGATTCTAAATTACTGAAATCTAATTGTAAGCTAAAGACACTCTCGTCTGTTGCAAAAAAACAGTAAGCACATAAATTATTACTAAAGTATTAGAGATAATACCAACACTAGAAGAAATATATATGCATATAAGTATATATATATACAAATATAAAAATATTAGTACTATATTATCTCAAGGCCTTAAACACAGATTTAACTTAAAGATTGAGAACATCATCCTTAAGTTGAAATCTGAGTTTGATCAAACAAAGCATACAGAGATGTGTTTTTCTGGAGCTGTGCCAGAGACTGTTCACAGCAATTTGGTAAACCTCATAGTTGAAATAAATAATTATTTTCCTGAATTCACTACTGAAAATTGTCCTCATTATGTTCTGCTGTCTGGTCTTCTCCTTTCTCAGGAAATATGTCACTCATGCTCAAACTAGTGAGCAAATCCAAGTCCTTCTTGTCCTCTTAGTCATGCACACCTAGATTCCACCATCCAGGTATGCACAGCATGAGAATATTTAAGAGAAGAGATATGGGAAGTCTCTGGCTCTACTGAAGAAATGGTGTGAAGATTCTGCCTCTGATGCAATATTTCTTAAAAAGCAGGATGACAGACTATTTTGGTTATCTCCACAGAGCAGTGGAGGGGAAAATTTCTATAAAAATAGCATTTTAGTTGAAAATACCAACCAATTCATCAAAACAACCAAACCATCTAAAAACAGTGTTTTGCCATTTCTTCTCAAATTCTAACCAGGGAAGATTTTTAAGTTGATAATGGTTGGGGACTGGTGAGTTTTCTGATGATAGTTTCTCACCAATTCTATGCGTGAATTGTGCGGGCCTTCTTCTCTTGCTTGTAAAAATAAACAACAAATAATTCATATTTCCTAACTCTCCTTGCTTGTGTCTCTTGAGTTTTGCTAGTAACCAACAGCAACAGAGGCACATCTACTGGGGGACTCTAAGCTAAGGGCAGCAAGCAAAGAATTTCAAGCATTTTTAGCCTCTCTTGTCTCACAAGTTTCACAAGTATTGAAAATCTGCTAAAAAGAGGAGAATGGGTTCTGTTTCTTAACAGATGATCACTTGGAAGGACAAGGTATTTTCCTACCAAAAAAATATTAATAGTTATACTTGAACTGTGATTTTTTTGTGACATATTATTTAATTGATAAATCTAATTTACATTTGCACTGTGAGCTATAAGAATGACGATATGTTCCCAGAAGATTATTTCAGTAATTAAATTTTATAGCTTCCTAAGCATCTTTTTCTCTATGCTTAAAGGGAAATATTGACAAGAGTTTAGTTATTCATATATTTATTTATTCCTTCTAGCATCTGCTGATAAGCAGGATGCTCTGCCATGAACTACAAAACGGAAATGAAAATATCACATTAATAGGTTTGGAACACATTACTTACGGTGGTTGCACAGTGGATGTCTTTCCATACATTGGCTTCCCTGGAGAGATCTGAGACTTCAAAAAGGTTATCAAGAATTACTTCCCCAATCATGTCATGTCTAGAAAATCTGTCAAAATCATAAACACTGAAATGCAATTTTCTGTTGCTGAGTTGATCATAGGCTACAGGAAACTGAAAGGTTTCATCAAAGACAGGATTTAATGTCTTTCTGTGAACTCGTGTCTGAAACTTCTTTTTCCTATCTGGAAGCAGATAAATCTTAACGTAGGGGTCAGATGTTCCTGTGAAGTCTTTAGCAGGCAGATCTAAGGCTTTGACAATTGTGACAGCCAAAAGTTCGTTCTCATAATCATACCGGAGAGTGAAATTAAGTTTTCCACATGTTTTCACATCTTCTTGTTGCCCATCGGAATCCACAGACTTCTGTTTGTAGAGTTCTGGTTTTATTCTCCCAATGCTGGTTGTTGTCTCTCCCCTTTGTAAAATTGGATCTGTCCCCATGTTAAAATCAACACTGGACACTTGCATCTGCCTTGGCAAGTGCCTCCTGAAAGAATTGTGCCTGCACACATACACAGACAAAATGAGCCATGGTTATCTCCAGGAAAAGACCTGGCTATTACTAAGTAGAAAATACAAGAAGACAAAATTAGTAAGGCTTCCACTCTTTAAAGCAACCAAAAAACAAGCCTCAAAAGTTTTATAAGTGCTAAAACAACTTTAAGAGGAAATGATTATTCAGAATGAACTTGGCCTGAGAAATGCTCAGTGTCCTGGCATTATATATATTTCTTACCTTGCTTTCAAGCTATGCAGCTGAAAATGAGCTCAGGTTCTTTCATAGAATTCCAGCATTATTTGATCCTACTCTGCTAGGACATGAACAAAATATAGTCATGCAGAAAAAAGCATCACTTACAGACAACAGACCTCCTGTTGTTTGAAGGCACTTCTTGTCTGCTTTCCAATTAAATGTTTACCATGCTTAACAATGACCACTGTGAAAGCCTCAAGGAAGCCATGGAAAGGTATAGACATTTTCAGCATAGTATTTACCAACCTGAAACACTTTATGTGTACCTACTGGGTATCTGGTACACTGAGATACAGGTCACTTTATCCTGTAACATTGTTTTGGCTGCAACACATTTCATTTTCAGACAATATTTTACTGTGGCATATTTTTTTTCCTTCTGTTCTCACACTCCTCTGTGTAGCATATTAGCAAACAGAATCATGTACTACAACCAAAAACTTTAAATCCTCACAAAATGTGTTTAAATCCTCGCAATTCTGAATACTATGTAGTATATCTGTACTTATTTATGAGATTATCTTGGTGGATGAACATTAGTGGAACTTTCTGCCTTTCCTACAAAGAGTGAAATCAAATCTCTGGTATATCATACAGCTTTAAAATAGTATAAAAACATTGGTCAAAAAGCTTCATAGACATAATCATCAGCAGATGCCATTATGACTACATTGTTCAGTTTATTTTTTGGACATTTTCACTTTTCCTTGGTACTTCACTACCCTTACAATCTGCACTGGAAAAGCTCACTACCTCCTCCTGTGAGCATACTCAGTTGCCATTAAAAAACAATTTAATTGTCAGAATTTCTTCTGCTTTTTGCAATCAATTGCTTATTAATGCCAAATGCAGCCTTGCCTTATTGCTTGGTTTCCCTGTGGTGTTGTGTTCTGAAAACAAGAGGTGTCACAGCTGTGTGTTTCTTTCTTTAAATCAGAAATGCAAATTGTCTATTTGGAGGCAACTAGGACTCATTTCATAGATATTATTTGTATTTTTGCTTAAGTGAAGTGGTTGCAGAAGGCACCCAGCACAAAACTACTGCAATTTAGCTGAGCAGATATACAAGAGGGTAATCTGCAGCCATTAAATAATAGACAAGAATGTTTCCCATTTTGGTTGCTTCAGTACTGCTAGACGTAGTGTGCAGCAAAATTGTGACAGAAGAATAGGGGAGGGAGAACTTCGTAGTTCAAGTTTGAAGTAACTCCAGAAAACACAGGTGTTTTGATTTCCAATTTAGATGAACAGTAATACACCTCTCATAATACATTGCAACTTTTCCATATACACACATTATTTATCTGTTACAAGCAGATAAGTTCAAAGACTTCCTCTTCTCTTAAAAGATTAAGCTCCTCAAATTCAAAGTATACGATATCCATGATGGAATGGGAAGGCTCTAACTAGTCGTAAAAGCCCAACTATGTTCTTCATGGGGTCCATAAATGCCACTGAGCCTTCATCCACTGGGAATTCTGGTCTCACGGATATGCCAAACACAGGGAAGGAACTCTCCATCCAAAACGTAGTGGCAGTAAATTTTTAGCATGCAGTTGGTTAGGAGAAATGAAAATTGCCTGCATGTCATTTCAAGTTTAAATGAAATTTGATATATGACAAACTCTCTTTTCCTGTAGTCTCTTGCAATTATGAAGACCTGAGTTAATCCTTGCAAAAGTAGCATGTTAAAACATGACTCTATGATTTCTAAGGTACCAACCTCCTTTCAAACTGTCAAACGCTATATACGTAAGATCCTCTGGTGAAGACAGTCATTGCTGCATGGCGTCACTAAGTAGAACAGTGCAGCTGTATGGCTGTGCCTCATGGGAACCAACAGAACTTTTGCTTCAATAAGCCAATGCCCTAATTACATAGCGCCTTATATCTGCTCTGAGTCACAGCATTTCACCAAGACAGCTAATTGGTCTGTTAATTATTAAGATGCTTCATTGTTGTCATGGCAACATATTTATCATCCTTTGTTCTGCAATAACAAAGGAATTAATGACTGTTAAAATGAAGTACAAGGATGTCAAGCAACCAGGATAAAAAGGTGTAGGGAAGCTACTGACTTGTAAATCCAGGTACATCCACTATTACTGGCTTTCACTTAGCAATCCTACAGACACACCTTCCGTAACTTCGAACAAATACATTTTGAGTGACAAAGCCTGGACAAAAATCTATAGTATAAAACAAGTTTGCATTGGAATAATGATAGTATGAAGCTGAGTTCTAAACAGCAAGAGTAGCATATGTAAGACAAATGAGAAGGATAGGATGGTGATTTACAATATGACTTGAGATTTACAACATGTGGCTCTGATCTATCTTCAAGAGATGATATTCAGGTGATGTTTTAGACCATATCCAGGAATGGACACCAGCATTTGAATCACATTTTGCCAGGACTGAGGTTACTATTTCCATCACCAAATTCAATTGACCTGTTTGCTTTTCTTTAATCTTAACATTCCCACACACCTCACTTTTGCCTTTGTGCCTCATGGGAGCTGACTTACTCTTCTAGAGCTGAATGACAAGCTCCTCTCCTACTTAATGCTAAAGAGCTCAAAGCTCTTTGAAAATACAAGTGAACATTTGAAGGAAGAAATATTAGTGAATCTATAAACTACACTGCAGCATACCTTCACAAAGTACAGGGAAAAATGGCCCTCTCTAACACTGAGCAAAAATGCATTTAAATGAACACCACTGCAGGAATTCTACTGCAGTTTATTGCACCTACTATTAGTTACTTACACCTACTATTAGTTACTTAAGGTGAGACAAGCAGGGCTACTCAGGGGAAATGAACTGTCCCTCTAGGAAAGATTTAAAACTTATAATTTAGACAAGATAGAAAGAAAAAGCTTCCCTACAGTAGATACTGAAAGAGCAGGACAGATGACAGACTTTAATTTTGTAAAACTGTGCTGGATTTCACTTTTATTTTATGTATTCATATCCCAGTCCAAATCACTCTGGAGATCTGTGGAAATATTTTGACAGCTTGAAGTAGCTCTGGATTACTCCTTGGAACTTCTTTCTTCCCCTGTGTTGCCATAGAGAGTTTTCAAGCCTATCTGCCAGCTAGTTATTTCTTCTGTCTGTTAAGGAAGTCAGACAGTCTGATCACCTACAGATTTACCTGTTGGCACATAATGCATAAAACGTTCCAATTAATATCCAATTAGATAGATAGCAGCATAGCAGTTGCAGATAGCAGTTGCATGAGATCCTTGTCATGCGACGGAGTATCATTTTTAGTCCCTTTGCCTGTCCCTCTTATAGCAGCTGCAATGTCAAAGCCACCTTCCCAGTATTCTGGAAAAGTTCCTCAGAGCAGTTTGGACACCATGCTCCCTATCTCAGTAGGTGGATATAGTAGCTGCAATCAGGCACATGCAGGGCAACATGGCTTACATGCAGCTATACAGTCTTATCATTCAGGACATGGTTCAGCTGCTGTAGTCAGCTAGACTGGAGTGCTCTACTTTTTGGTTGCCCGTTGGCTGTTCCTTGTTTTTGCAAAAGTGGGAAAAAAAGCACTTCTACACTCACCAGTTCTAAGAATGCACTGAGCTTGCAGAGTACTGATCTTAGGGACTCTCAGAAAGCCAGCAAAAAATGTGTCCACTAAATGTAAAAAACGTCTCCTACAATCTTGTGTGTCAATGAAAATGGAGTGGATGTTTTTTTATTATTATTGTTTGGCTTTTGCTTGTTGATTTGTTTCACTCGGTAGCATGCATCCATTTAGCAAAAGGACCACTGAGTTAAATCCACTTCCTATACAGGATTTCTACTCTTACAGTGTTACACAGTACTTCAAATGCCTATTTTAACCTCCTATTTTGTGTTAAGAAAACATTCATTTAAAAAAAAATTATTATTATTTATTTTTACATAGGAAGTGTTCTTTTTAACTTGCTGCCTGCTTCCCATGCATTAAATTTGCTGACAGTATTTGAAGAAAATCATGTTAGGTACTACAGATCACTACACATCTTTTCTTCAGAACTTTTCAAAATAACTCAGTATCAGCAACAAAATCAAAGTTTCTGTCCTTCAATTTAATACAAAAGAAATCATTGCTGCAATAGTACATGCTTGACATATATTCCAAAATACAGAATCTGTATGGCTTTGAAATCAATCTGTAAGGACTACATTCTTAGACTGGGATTTAATTCCTTTATAAGAGGCAAACATGTCATGAAGAAATGCCATCAACAATAAATCTTTAATCTTTTTCTTTAATGAAGAGGAAAACTTTCATCTGTAAAAGCAACTGCTAGGACTATAAAAATACATCTGTGAAAAGACAGACTTGCAGTACTTTGAAAAATCACATGAGGATGGATTTTCCTATACACACACAAAAAAAGGAAGTGTTGTAAATATGTATATGTAAATGCATATGTATTTACAAAGTAGTAGAAGATAGATTTAATCTTCATGAAACAGTGAGGTAGCTGAAGATCTGCCATCTTTTTTGGGATATTCAGTTAACGATACAGATGCTTTACCTTCACACGGCTGCTGTTTTGCCCATAACTGCTAAGAACTCACAAGTACCCTAGGATCTTGGAAATTTTATGGCTGTACCTTTTCCCAGGAAACATGCCACAGATGCAAGTATCCCTTACCTTGATGATGACGTGGGCTCTGTGATCTGTCTCTGCATGCGTGCATGTCTGATCAGATGTTCTTTCAGTGCGTTCTGGACCTCTGCTGGTATATCAGGTGAAGTGTGGCTAATTTTCAATGCAGCTTCAAGTACCTTTGTTGTAGGTTTCCCATTTTCTTTAACTTCCTTTTTCTCACTGGTCTCCAAAACCTCTGTAGGAGCACTGGAAGTGCTCTGCGGGACATTACTGGCATTGGAAGTGAGAGGTTTGCTTCTCCAGCAGGGCCAGCACAACTTCCAAAAGACAAAAAGTGAGACTACCAGCAAGGCGAGCCCACAGAAGCTGACGACTACTGCTAACAAACTGACTGAGATGTCTGCAAGGAATTAGAAACAGAGATCATAATGACAGACAAACATGAAGAGAAAAGAATATGAAAAAAGTGAGAAGATAGAAGCATTGCAATCATTGTCCCATTATGAGTTTTGAAGCCTCATTCAAAGCTATTTTTCTTTTTGATATCTAAGCCTATGCCTTTAAAATGCTACCATTCTCCACTACCTCTTTTCCAAATTCCCCATTCATTGTTGCAAAGGCTCAGGGCCAGTACTGAAACCACCAGCAACACACAGACAGTCAAACTTCTTAGGAAGTAAGGGACTACCCAAACAGTCCCAAATCTGCCTATCTATAGTGATCAAATGGTGTTTGCTTGGGAACACATCTTGCGGAAAAAAATTAAACAGCAATCAACATTTTCGGAAAGCGTCTATGAAGATAGGTCAGTTACAAACACCCAGGCTGATAGAGAAATTCCTTAGGACTTGTCAAACTTTTGACTTTGTGTGCTAACTGGTTCATAAGCATGTTAAAACAGGATAAACAGGAACAAGTTACAGTCTGCCATGAACAATAAGTTGTAATGGTTAAATCTCAAACACTGTTGATCATGACATGAAGTTGCCTTCATACTACACTATTCAATGCCCTTGGTTGTACGAAGACCATACCATACACTTAGCTACCCCTGCTGCCCTGCATTTGACTTTCTCTGCCATGGTGCATTAACATATCCAATAAAACTGCCGAAGTAAAAAGAACAGATTTCATACTGGCTAAATTCTGCAAACAGACTTGTATTTTAGGAGATGGTGGATCACCAGAAATGCTGATTGGAGCTTAATTAAGACTTTTATTCTGTGTGACACATTTCAGTTTGATTTTTCCAGAATCATGTAATCTTCTAAAATATAACTAAAATAACCCTTTCCTTTTGAAAAGAGGCTTCTGTATGCTTTTTAAAAAAATCAATGAGCCCTACTTAAATGCCCCTCAAGCAAAGGCTGCTGCTGCTTGTTACAACAAGGTTTGACAGTTTAACAGCTAATATTTTGTATCCATAGCTGGAGGCTACAGGCTACTAAACTGAACCAGTGGAAAAGTGCAACCAGGGTATGAGCATACTTTTTTCTAAAAGATCACAGGATAAAAAAAAATAGTCCTCTAGATGTGTGTTGGCTCCACAAAACAGTTTGCAGCTCATGAGTCCTCCTGGGAGATTAAGTTTCCGGAAGATAATTTCAGAAGGTTTTCTTTATTAATATTTAATCTCCAAATACAACTTTCAGTAAGAAATAATGAGCTTAAGGCCCATTCAACATGAAAATGGATGAGCATAGTCAATGTAAATAGGTGTTTATAGTCTGAAGACACACTTCAGCTCAACCCTACTTCATGTATGTCCTGGCCAGCTTCATGGAAGAATTGGCAGTAGATGTGCTTTTGCATTTGAAGAGTTTAGCACTAACTGCTTCCCTGCCTTGAACAGAAGTATGCCTCCATAAACACTTTTGACAGGCCTGGGCATCTTTTTCTGCCTGCAGTTAAATGTCAAAATGTAGCCCTTGGAATATTCACGTCAGCTTAATGAGAAATTCATACAGCAAATTTCGATTTAAGATGTGCCCATAAAATGAATGGATGCATAATTATACCTACTAGCAATGTAACACAAGAAGCAAGCAATACTTCTGCATACAGTTTTTCTAGAGAATGAATCCTCAGTAGGGGTTATTAGGCTATTTGGTTTGATCTATTATTTACCCTGCTATGTTTTCTGAGTCTCATAATTTCTAATGGGCTTGTCCATGTTTTGCAGCAGTGTCTAATCTTGAAGGCAAGAGAAGACATTAAGGGATGCTGATGGAGTTTACAGCTTGGTTCAGTGATCAATCACTTTGTTGCAAATTCGTATTTCTGATTTGTATTTTTGAAGTACTAATTTACAGCCACTGATTCTTTCACACCTTTGTATGAGAGACTGAAAGATGTAATATGTCTCATAAGACATGTCTATGCAAAACACAAGTAAGCTAAAAGTGCTAGAAACAAACCAGAGCTTGAAACTCAGTTACCAAGGCCAGTCTCTGGAATGTTTTTAATCATTTAATGTCTCCCAGCCAATTCCTGGGCCTGGGTCATTAGGGAAGGCTAACAATCGTTCATCATAGGCACTTGGATGTCCTTCTATTTCAGTAGATGATGGACAGAGACTGTGACATGTCAGTTGGCCTCAGTGCCAGAGAATGGTCACACATTAATTCTATTCATGAATACAGAGGTATGCCCCCACTGAAAGAACTTTTTTGATAAACTAAGCCAGCTGAATTTTCGATCAAGCTAGACAGAATATTTTCCCATTCTCAAAGTCTGACAAAATGTAGAACTCTTGCAAAAGGTTGATGGTATCTCAGAAAACAACAAAAAAGAAAGCCAAAAAGAAATTCAATTTGGGGTCATTTGCAAGATTTTCAGCTCAGTGTAGGTGTTATTAGCATAATTAGCTTATATTTTGAGTTGAAGGCTTCTAGAACTGAAAAGTTACAATTACTCATTTAGAAAATGGTGAAACAGATGAAATTATTTCAAAACCAGATATATAAATATCCAACAGAGCTTCAATTTAATGAAAGCACTATCAGTTGATTCTATTAAAGCTTTTCTAGTCAGTCTTATTTTAAGTTTTTCACTGCAAGACATTTTTCAAGTCTTCTAATAACTTGGTGTCTCTTTTCAATATCTACTTCAGTTCTTCAACTTCCTCTAAATTTTCTTTCTTTATTTCCATTGAACTATTTCAAATGGTCTCTAATCCAGTCTCAAAATCTTTACAGAAAAACTAAGTTCTGCAGCCCTAAAACACAGCATGAAACTAATTAAGTTTTATGAGTAATGAAAATATTTGAGAGCTAATTCTGGAAAGAATCATACAGATTACAGTCTTCACGTCTGCTATTTTAGTAGTTTGCTCAACAGCCTCACATATTGTACTTGATAGTGCAACAAATATTTAAACAAAATAATGAAATATAGTAATTGCTAAGGAATTGAACAACAACAACAAAATAGTTCATTTCAATAAAAATTGTATTTATTTCATTACATTTACTTCCATAATTGCTAGAAAGTATTCCATATCAATTAATGCAAAAATCATATTGTTTGATTTTCTCACTTTTGAAAGTCACTCTATTCAACAATTGTTATGCAAGATTTGCTGTTACGAGAAGATTAGAATCATTTGTAGAACAGCAGACAAATGAAGCTTCCTCGACACTTTACATATTACACTAGATATGTTTAATATATTAGCCTTTCATAGCAATTTAAGAATAAAAAACACTAGGAGATGGTTCAGCAGAAGGAGTTTCTTCACATACTCATCGAGGAAATCTGGATAGAGAGGAAAATGGTTACCAAAAGAAGGATGTGTCTTTAGGCACGGATTACACTTCAGTTATGTAAATATTCTTCAGATGGTGACAAGTTCAAAGACTGCCTTAAGTTTTTAGAGTCAGAAGGGGATACACTCACTGGTCTGGGACAATGCTAACTGTCAACATTGTAAACAATATTCTCACCCTTCTCTGCTGTGAAGGAACAAAAAAATCATTTTCAGCCTCAGGCAAGCTTTTGACAACTCTTTTTCCAAACCGATAATTGCAACTTGTCTTCAATGCTATACATTTGCACAGAATAGATATATTTTTGAATACCTGTCTGGGCATGCTGCACAATGGTTTTGCCATTCCTGTTCACATGATGACTAATATTAAGAACACGAAGAACAACCCTATCTCACAGTGCCCCTCCTGAAAAAGTGGGAAATTTTCCACTCATTTCACTGAAATTAACATTTCACTCCTGGTGATATTTCTTTACTGACTTCTCCTTAATGTCATCTTCATAGTTTTGACAGAATTTCATGACTGAAAGAAAGTGGCCTGTTTCTTCATGTTTTCCTATTTAAAATAGCTCAATGAAGATGTCCACTATTGGTCAGTTTAATACTACTCATTTCAGAAAGGCATATCTACTTGGGAAATCTTGAGCTATATTTACTTCAACATCTTTCTGCACTTTTTATAAACATTTTTGGAGAGACATCCAGCCATCCAGCATAAGAGGCTTCTTGACAGCCGGTGTTTCATATTAGGCAAGTCTGTAGAAACATCCCCACCTTTTTTCTGGATGCTAGGCAACATTTTGAACCGTAGTTTCTGTACTGTGGTTTCCAACAATTTATTGCTTTACTTGCCTCAGAAAAGTTCTGCACATGAACCTATTCTCAAATATGCATACTGGCAGACGTCCATGTCCAAAGCAAATTAAATTCATTTCCATTACAGTTAGTGCTCTGAAAGCATGTGGCCCTTGAGGCTTAGCTTGGGAAAAAAAGGTACTCCTCAGCCCTTACTGAATTTATACTGAGGAGATCACTCAGTGTGTTAATGTAGCTGCCCATTTGTGTAAGCAGCAGGCAGGGCAAGGAGGGACCAGTCAGCTACAATTGTGTGAAATTGTATTATGTGGTCTCTCTTGTGCATCACACCACATGTCAGCAGGTATACAGAGGTGTGTACTGACACATTGCTCCTGTTGGGGCTAGAGGACAGAGACAAGCCTGCAGTACGAAGTTCTACCACAGACTCCTACTTCAGGAATGTTACAGAGCCCAGCAGCTCTTTTCAGCCATTAGAAGAGTGCTGTGAATGTCCCTGGCAGGCAGGGAGCTATGTACATGCAGTAGGCTGAAGAGAACCTACTTTTGCCAGCAAAGCAACAGAACCTTTTTTTTTACCTTATGTAAAAAAAGGAGTAGAGTTCTCTTTTGACCCCTTTCTTGGTATGCAGTTGATACTGAATCTCTTAAATATTTGAAGTTCAACATCCAATAACTTTTTTCATAACTATTTTTCTTTAACTGTTTTTTTTTTTCCTTTTTTTTTTCTTCTACCGTTAATCGTCCATAAGCAACTCTACTATTTCCATAGGAACCACTCTGAAGGGAGCTCTGGAATATCAGCAGTCAGCTCT